TTTTTACTTTTCAAATTGAATTTTAATGTGAACTGCGTTATAGTGAGGCTGCACAACAAATGCAGGATTTGCTCGGTTCTAAATGCCAAATGCCATGTTATGTTTTAATCAGATGGAGTCTCACTTAATTAGTTGCCCACACCTGACTCAGACGACGAGGCGTAAAACGTTAAATGTCACAGACACTTTTAGAAGAATAGCAATGATAGATGAGAAAAAAAGAGAGAAAAATGTTAGTTTTTGTACACCGACAATCACCCTCTTAAGGCACGGGCCACTATGGTGGCCTCAGGGAAACCTTTAGTAAATGGATGAAAAATGTAAAACTTGATTTGTTTACATTATTTAAAACGGAAAACCGTCAGTTATTCAAACTGCTTCAAAATTATAGAATATTGTTAAAGTTGGAATAACGTGAACTATAATCAACAATCGCAGTTTTTTTTGTTGTTTTTTTTTTGTTTTTTTAGTGAACATTGAGCTAAACTATTCTTTTTTTTGTTTGTTTTTTTTGCATCTGTCGTGTTTTCACCTCTGCTAAGCAGAGAAGAGCGGGTTCTCCTCACCTTTCTCTTGGACCATCTGGCAGATAAACAGCCATAATTACTGCACAGATGTTGCCTTTCGTTTACGTGACTGAAGGTTTTGTTATTTTTAACGAGGGACGCCGACCTCGCAGTGCTCTATAACTGGATGCAATTACAAACGCGATCCTAATGGTCGCACTTTTGGTCGAGCTCTCGGACCCATTTTGCGTTTTAATGACGGCGGCATTAAAACGTATGAAGGTAAGGCATCTGTTTTTGGAATTAGGCCTCAATGAAAACAAGTTTATGTGTCCAAAGTGAAGTCGGGTTACTAAAACTCTGTTATGACCTCGTTGATGTGCTAATTTAGAGAAATGAAGTCATGACCTACTTGTTGTTGTTGTTTTAAAACAATGTTGCCCTAATGAGAATGTTGTCTCTCAGCTACTTTCTACACCTTGATTTTTCACTTTTTGTTACACTGAATATTTCTAGATTATTTTGTCTTGTGAGGTAGAAGTGTGGCAGGCATATTTCAGCCAGCTGACCGGCAGTTGAGAAAGAGGCTAGACTATGTTACTCTGTGCTCCAAACAGCCACAGGGTGAGTCCTAACCCTAACCTCTAGTGACTCTTGGCACTTTCTCTGGTTTCATTAAACAAACTTTAAACTGAAGGATGTAAATAACTGGGAATTTTAATAGTTTTTGAATGTAACAATTTATATGTAGTTTTCAGTTCTTACTTGTTGTTTTTATGTGGTCTTCATCAGGCTTCCCGAACATTTTGTTTCAAAGTACTCCTTTAGACTGTGGCTGATTTCGTTTCATTCTCTATTCATTCTGTGCCACTGCGTATCACAGCATTGTGTACTATTGCGAGAAAAAAAAAAAAAAAAAGGCCACATGTGTTATTTCTTCAAAGAAATGTAAACATGAACTTGGGCGAGTTGAAATAATTTTGGTCCAAATAGAACTATCCTGGAGGGTAAAATAAGAAGTGGTCGGTTGCATGTTGTGCTCTCTGATCTTTTTTCCTCTAATTGCATGTTTTTCCTGGGCTACCCATCATTACTGGAAAAAGTGACAAAGCAGGATTTGAGGCCCTGTCAATACTCACTGTAATCCTCTGAGGAAATACAAAACAGAACAGCCGGTAGAATTTTAACTCTTTCAAAGTTAAAATTGAAAGAGTTAATTTTAACTTTCAATTTAAATTGCAGGTTTGTCTGAATTTCAATTAGTTTAATTCTATCGAAAAGAAAATATTATTTTTCCGGTATGCGGTTGGCCCTGTTGAGTGAAGTGTAACCGCCCTGGAACTAAACGGAGCAAAAACAGGTCAACTTTTGAGAGATTCCAGAAACTCTGTGGGTATTTTTAGAAGAAAAAAAAAAAAAAAGTTTGACAATCCCACCGTTTTCTCCGACTCCTGCTGATGCCCCTTTATAGCTGTTGGTTTTTACCACCATGACTCGGTGCACGTTTCTGAGGCGTTTCTCTGGCACCTCAAAAACGTGCACTATCTCCACCATCTGCATCAGATGGCCTACTTTAAAGCTCTCTGTGTGTTCTTTGTGAAAACCGTTTCTCAACCCACTCTTTGTGCAGGTGTGGGACCTGCGTCAGAACAAGCTGATCTACAACATGCACGGCCACGGCGACTCTGTGACCGGACTCAGCCTGAGCTCCGAGGGATCGTACCTCCTGTCGAACTCCATGGACAACACAGGTGGCGTTTGGGTTTCTTGTGGCTCAAAATGTGGAGGATGAGTTCTGTTGCTTTAGAACTGCGCGTCTTTCACACAGTGCGGATCTGGGACGTGCGACCGTTCGCGCCCAAGGAGAGATGCGTGAAGATTTTCCAGGGTAACATTCACAACTTCGAGAAGGTAATCCTGATTTATTAGCAGGTAAAGCAGGTCAAAGAGTTCATTAATTAAACACTAAAACTAGGAAGTTTTTTCACACTGATTAGGCTTCATTCAGCTGTTTTGTAATTAGAAACCCATCATTTAGTCAGTAAATGCTCGAACTAATTGCTGCTCTGAATGAGTCGCAGATCACCTCTCATTGCTAATGCAGCCTGTTGCGTGTTTTGCTCTTTGTTCAGAACCTGCTGAGGTGCTCCTGGTCCACTGACGGCAGTAAGATCGCAGCAGGTTCAGCTGACAGGTAACAAACAAACCGCCAGACAACACCGTAAATCGTTTCCTGTACTAGCAACGACCTTGAATTACGGAATAAAGTAGAACTATTGAGTCAACAATAAAGGCTTTTTCAGAGCATTAGATGAAATTTTCAGAATCCAAAATCAACCTGCACGTGAGTAGGAACAGAATGTTTGAACTCTCAGGGATTTTTCAGTTCAGGAAATTCTTTCCTTTTAACATGAATTTGTTCACCTTTGTAGACTACTGTAGCTTTAAGATATGCATACTTTATACATGTATGTTGTCTCAATTACTTCATTATTGGTACTAATGATTTGTCCATTGTATCTATTGAGAAACCGACTTAAATGATCTGATTCTTGAACTCAAAGTGTGAGATGCTTGCAGCTCTAATGCAAAGCGCTTTGAGTGGTCAAAATGACTGGCAAAGCGCTATATAAGTTCAGTCCAATTACCATTTACTAACATCAACCCTACACTTTGTTTTTAAGGTTGGACATTAATATTCAAAACTAACGAAAGTTTTCTGTTTAAACTCATATTGAGGAGGTGTCACCACTAAAAAGCATGCCACACCTTTCAGATTTTTATATCTAAAAAAATTTCTAATTTAATTTTCTTTTACATTCAAAAATGTGTCGTTCTATCATAATAATCAAATAGGATGTGATTGTAACGTGACAATAAATAAAAATATTCTGACTGTATTTTCCAGTTTGATATGTCTGCACAGACATTATGAAAAAGCTACTAAATCGTAAAAAAAAAAAACGATTTAGATGAGAGACCTTTCCGAATTTTTTTCTCTTCCTCTGTAAAGTTGCCTTTCAAAGATGGCGGACAGACTTAAAAACACCAGGGCAGATTCTGTAAAGTGACTCTTTCTGCTGCTCTGTCTCCTCTCCCAGATTTGTGTACATCTGGGACACCACGTCCAGACGGATCCTGTACAAGCTGCCGGGTCACGCTGGCTCTGTCAACGAGGTGGTCTTCCACCCAGAGGAGCCTGTCGGTGAGTGAGTCGCTCAGCTCCTGTAGCTTATAGAGCAGAAACCTTTGAAGCATCAAAGACGTGTTTATCTTCCTCTTTAGATCACAAACTAACCCCAAATGCAGTATTGATATAGCTTCTAAATGGATAAAATCTGTTAATTTTATTGGGCTGCTCATCTGTTTTCTCTCTGCAGTGCTGTCTGGCTCCAGTGATAAACGTCTGTACATGGGAGAAATTCAGTAGAGAGTGTGTGTGTGGATGTTTGATTGTGTGCGTGTGTGTGTGTGTTTGTGAGCGGCCTGCCTCGGAAGTGTTTTATGGGCACTGATGGAGTTTATTTTACATGCTTCGTCTCGCCTCAGAACAGCCTCAGGATGAACTTTATTACCATCAGTCAGCCTCAAAAATGGCCCTTTTTTTCTTTTTCTTTTTTCTTTTTTAACTTTGATTTATTTCTTTTTTTAAAATAAACTTTTGGTATTCAGTGAAAACAACTCTTGTCATATCATTTTGTTTCTAGTGTTTTACTATCATGCGGGGGAGAAGATTTACATTTGTCCTGGTTACCATTTAAAACAGACCCAGCTGTTTTTTTTTTTTTTTACAAAGGGATAAAAAAAAGCTGCTGCTATGGGTTTTGCTACATTTTTTTATTCTTTACTTCTTGAACATTGAAATAATTTTCAAACAAGGAAAAGTAGGAGTAATTATAGCATGTTGTTTTAGGCATTTTGAGGCTTAGGAGTTTTTGGAGTCTTCATGCACACAGTAAATCGTTTTCTGCTTCACATATTTTGGCCCTAGAAATGATCCTGCAGCTTTTCCCAATAGTTACAGCTTTCCTATAAATATTTTACAATCCTTCAGTGATTATGTGATTACCAGTTCTCACAATGCGCTGTTGTTTTGGAGTGCATTTTGTTTTAGAGAACATTTTTGTTCATAGTTTGGGGAAAAAAACAAACAAGCTTTAATATATATCTGAAGAAGGCTTCCTACTAGGTTTCTCCAGGGATTTTATTTGGGTTGCTGTTGGAGTGTTTGGACCCTTTTTTTTTAGGGATTTCCAGTCCACACATCACCAAAACAACATCCTCAACACAAAGTTGATCTTGTTGCTACTGTGGGTTGGACTCCGCCAGAACTGCTCCTTGTCTCCAGTCGTGTTTGAGGTGAGCATGGAGAGGTTCTAGAGGCATAATGAAGAGTGTCGGGTTAAAGAAACCCAGGGTCTCTTTTTGCAGATGATGTCACTCTGTTGCTGTATTCCTACCGTGACCTTCAGGGTACATTGGAATCGGTTTACAGCTCGATGAGAAATGGTCCAACACCAGAGATACTCTGTAAACTTTTGGTCTCTGAGAATCTCTCACCGTGTTTCTCAGTGTTCTGTGACCAAAAAAAAAAAATAAAAAAATCCAGTTTTATATCACTAAGAACTGAATGTGCTGACTAAGAAACGAGGCTCTGCTCCAAAATCGGTGCCTTCAAGGATAGAAATCTAAACCAGCTGTTGACCATGTTAGTCTGATGGCTTGCTACCATGGTTACTGGTGCGGTACACAAAGTGGGACTTAACCTCAAATCAAGAGCCGGATGGAAACTGGGACACGGCTGGATGTTTCAACAGGACGGACTTCTAGAATAGACAAGACTTTGACCTGGCTGAAAATCTGTGGCCCTTATGCTGAAATGACAGAAATATGTTGTGTATAAACCTTGTTAAGACACATAAGCGTTGGGTTGAATGACGCTAGTATGTAAATTGTTTGTTCGACTTTTTTCCTAGCCTGAAACACACATGTGGGACCCAAATGGAGTTAAGCTAGGCTACATGGCCCTATGTAGGTTTAATGTGTGATGGCTTTAGCGGGTATCTTAGACCAATATCTTTAGACATGTTTGAGCTTATATTGTGAATGCCTCTTTAAGACTTAACTGCTTAATTGGTTTTGCAATATTCGATGTTAAGCTTTTAATCATAATAATGAAGTAGAATAAAAGGAACATGCTGTGGGCCTAGTCCAACTAGGTGTGAAGAGAATTCACATGAATTGGTTGGTGCCAAGGTCAGATTCAAAATTTTAACAAAAGTTGTAGTGAAAATCTAGAAGAGTTTTGAGAACTTTTGGTCAAAACCGCATTAGAAGTAGGAGCATATGTCAGGTTAAGTTGACAAGACAGAAACCTCCGTATATCATTCCATAATTTCTTCCACAAACAATTTTAATAAGGGAGGAAAAAACCTAAAACAGAAAAAAAACAACCTATTTAACGTGCCCGAGTCTCAGCTACATCATGCGTGCATTATAAAACCAGAGGCCAGTTTTCTTAACGATTATGTCCGCTGTTTGTTCACTTTATGAACTAACGTGTACAGACTGAATGTAATAACTCTATTACATGGTGGGGTGCTGTTTTCCATGCTCATAAAGCGGTCATTATCTACCGCCCGTGTTTGCTGACTTAGCCCACTTTATTGGAAGGAGGCATGTCTTGAGGTCTGGCAGAAATGAACCACGGCTGTTAAAGTGTGCCTTTTATTTCCCCTCTGAACAATAATCACAAACTGGACTCTCCTTGGTTGGGAATCCACACTGATGTCGACGACAACACACTGACTCGCTCTTCGCGTTTGGCTGAACCTCTTTAACCACTTTTGTGATCTCTTAAATTGGGGAGTATTATATACATTTTACTTTTCTGAGATCTACATCGTGCTCTAATGTCACTAAACATACCCGGAGTGTTGCTTTGACTCATTCATGCATGTTTGAGAAATCCTTGAATCTGACGCCTTAACGGCTGGTCATACAATGCACCGCCTTTTTATGCAAAGCTCTGCCTTTGAGCTTCAGCCTCCAGCCAAGCTCCATCAGACTAGCGGCAGCAGCAATTAGTAAACACCTGGTTGAGCTTTTGCATCTGCTTAGCTTATATTAACTACAATGCCCCTAAATGTGGTTCTGAACGGCATCAATGGACATCTTGGAGAAGCATTGTTGGGATGATGCAATGAAGGGGGAATGTCAGAAAAGGAGTTTATTTTTTTTTAGATAGGCACCAGCCATCACACGTCCTTGCAAGGGTAAGCAGATATAGACGATGGATGGATGGGTGGACTTCATCCTCAATGTTTTGAGGTGGAAAGGTATTGCGCATCATCCTAAAAACGCTTGCTTAGTATTTTTATTCAAATCAATTTATAGCTAACAACAACAAGGATTCAAGGAGCAATAGAAGGCAAACAGATCCAGATTTAAAATTTTAAATCAGTGACATACACACAAATTCAGTCCTAATTATTGCAGCCTTCAGTCAGGTAACTAAAGGAAGGATTTATGGATTACAGCATCATTCTTGATAATAATCTGAAGGTGGAACCGAATTGGATTTTTCAGCAAGAGACTGATGCCAAACACACAGACATGGAAACTCTGAGCTGGTTTCAGGGAGCAAAAAGAAACCCATTAGGCGGCTGACCCGGTCAGTCAATGGACTTTGCATTTGGAAGCCAAATGCAAATCTATGTAAAGAACTGACTAGAGAGCGTGGAAGAGGAGACAGAGCCTTCAGAACTTGAGAAGAGTTTATGTGGACGAAATGGACGACCAATACATGTGATCAGCTTCTCTGCATAGGAAACATCTTGACGTGGTCATCCACTAGACAGAATTTTTTTCGCTAATAATTAGTGTTATGTCATATTACACATTAATTTCTGGACTATATTGTATTAATTTCTTATATGTGTAAATTGTTTCGCTGTTGCTGCCATATCGCAATAGGATAAATAAAAGTATATTAAATGTGAAAAAGTTTACTGCTAGTGTGATCGGCCTGTCCGCTCTTAAACTCATAACAACCAAATATACACAAGAAACTTTCTAGGAGCGTTATAGGTGAAAGGGGTGCCCAGTACCCACCGCTCTCCCTGGTATCTGTAGTTCTTTTGAACGCCCCTGCAGAAACCTCACAGCTCCTCATGGGGGGGGGCTCGCGGTGACTGTGGGCCCCCACCCCCTCATTCCGCTCCCTCTCTC